TTATTAATAGCAGTGATGCTGCGGTTTTCAGTTTTCAAACATTTTGCAATGTATTTCAATGGCGATGCAATCTCTCAACTGTAAAAGATATAAGATAATAACATGTATGCATGTGGGGTATATGTATATGTAGGTATGTTGTCACCCAGCGGGTGTTCAACGTCTTTTATTCCCGGATAAAAAAAAATACTGTAGAGTCAGGGTCAGACGTTGTATAACTCCAGGGCCAGCTTGACAAGCTGGCCGACAGGAGTTATGTATAAAAATTATGTAGGGCAACTTCTCCAGAAGAAAATGAGCTGCGTCTATGCCACGATGTCTGAATTTGGTGTATCCACAAAGCTATTACGGCTGTTTAAACTGCCGTTGAGCAATGCCAAAAGCTTAAACAGGATCGGCAAGGACCTCTTCGAGCCGTTCGATACCAAACGAGGTTTCAGACAAGCCGGCTCCCTATCTTGCGACTTTTTCAATCTACTGCTGGAGAAAATAATTTGAGCTGCAGAACTTAATCGAGCTGGTACCACCTTCTATAAGGGTATACAGCTGCTGGCGTACGCCGATGRTATTGATATATTGATACATATCACTATTGGTAGTCATAACTTCCTAGTCATAGTACATAATTTCGTCAAGAACGTCAGCCTCGAAATCCAACGCAGAATAACTCTTGCCAACAGGTGCTACTTCAGATTGAGTAGGCAATTGAGAAGTAAAGTCCTCTCTCGACGAACAAAGACCAAACTCTATATGTCACTCATCATTCCCGTCCTGCTAGTATATKGTGCACAGGCATGGACGATGACAACATCTGCTGAGTTGGAGTTACGAGTTTTCGAGAGAAAGGTTTTTCGAAAGATGTATGGTATTTTACGCATAGGCAACGGCGACTATCGCATTCGATGGAACGATGAGCTGTACGGGGTATACGACGACATTGACATAGTTCAGTTAGTTTATGTCATCCGCATGGAAACATTTCAGCTCTGAAAGTAATCCCCGCGGGGAGAAGCAGCGGAATTGGAAGATCACCATTCCGTTGGAAATACCAGGAAGGGGGAAGTACCTGGATACACTTGGCATCTCCGATTAGCGCCAAACAGCGAAAAGGAAAAACCACTGGCGCGCTGTTGTAAACTCGGCTATAACCACGGAAGTGGTGTCTACGCCAATAAAGAAGAAGATACAAGAAAGTTGCGCAATCTGTAGAGTCAGTTGGGAGCTGTCTTACAATCCATTTTATGAAAGTATGGTATGGTACAAACAAAATCGTGCCTTACTTTTAACCAAATTTAGGCGAATTCGAACTAATGAGGYCAAAGGACAGACGATACGAAATACACTTTGGTTAACCAATAACGAATAGCAGCCCTGGGCTTATGGGACACACTTTGCTTCACTTTAGAAAGCATTTATGGTCCAATCTTTTCCGGGAATGTGCAGCATTTGTGATTACTGTTATCAGGAACTGACCTATATACGAGTATATTTTCCATTGGTTGCCGATATATTTTATATAAAATTTACTCTATTTCGGTACCTTTAAAAATGATTTATATTCCAACTACAGCGACTAAGGTAATTGTAACTCTTAATGTACAATGGTTGAGGCACTTGTAGAATGTTTGTGCTTTAGCAATGTCTGAAGCCCGTAACAGCGCAAGTTTCAATGAACTTCCGAAGGAAACCCTTCAAATAAACCAGGAACGTGTTTAAAATATATTAAGCTCGTATTACATTTGATGAATGTACATTTGCAAATACGGAGCAGCACATGTTCTAAGTAAGCATGTAGCACATACATACATAGGTATGTATTTAGACCCAGCAGTGCGTGGCACGAGCACAGGTCCTCTTTGGTACTACTTTTTTTATGGTAAATAAGAATTTGTTGCAGACTAAACTTGGACTTCAAAGAAAAGCTTTTAGTTGTTTTCAGGCCARATATAAATGTAYGTATTTATGTAGATATGTCCAACTTATCAGAATGCTAAGAAAATACCGTTCAACGCTTAATGCGCGCCCATCATGTGCATCCGGAGATAAATTGGCAGGAGTCGATTACCATCATTTTTGGTAGTGACACTTTGGAGCAGTGGAGAACCACTACATTTCACTACTTGGTAGCCCACATGACGTATGTATGTATGTATGTACATCGTTGTTTAATTAGAACTGCAGCAGTCGTTTGTTTATAGCTCTTTGCGCCGTCACTGGTCGTCTGCTGCGAAAAGGTGTTAACTTCAATGGTGTTTTTACATTAACGGTGCACCGCAACGTTTTACCTAACTGCCTTTGCGCATGGGTCTGTATGTACACATGCGGATCGCATTTACTTAGTACCGAGTACTCACGCCATAAACTTATTTTAACACTTGACTAAGTACAGACACACACGCACATACCTTGGTAGTACAAATACAGTTTTATAGCGAAACAACTGTGTTTAATGAACAACAAGAAAAGGTGAAAAAAGAAAATACGACGACAACAACAGCAACAAAGCGATAAAATAACGACAACTTAGTAAAACAAACAAACGAGGCATTAGACCTTAGACCTTTTTAACAACCGATCGTGCTTTGCTTTTGCCTACTCCTTGGTTCTTAAGCTGCGCACGACGTCCCAACTGCCCTCACGGCCCAGTTCATTTCGTCACTCATCATTCCAGTTTCGAATGGAATACTTGCGTTGGAGGCAGCCAAGCCAAGCCAAGTTGAAGTTGAAGTTTAAACCGCTTTCGTATAACCTCGAGTTTACGGTTGGTTGTATGCAAAACCCAACAATAAAGGTTGAAGAGACGTCAGTGAAAAAAAAGAGACCGCAACAAAAGCAACAAGGGAAGACCTAAAAGAAAGGAAAGACACACGGACGGAACATTTGCAGTTAAGTGAGTCACAGCTGCGAGCTGTGCAAAAGCCAGAGACAGTTAAATTTTTTGAATTCATCTCGCACCCGCTTGCTATAAACAGGAGGTAGACGCGAAGCTTGTTTAATGTAAAACATGAAAAATACTCGAATTGGGTGCAAGAATACGGCCGATTGTTGAACTGAGTTCGCGAATTCAGCTTTTGGGCAAACAGCTGCGCCAGCTGACGCATGTTATAGTCGAACATGCTTTAGCGTGTTCATAGAAGGGAATAACTGCGATGTCAATAAACGCCGTTGTCGGCTTCCTTGCATGTACAAACAGGCCTACAGTTTTTTTTGAGCAGCCGTGGATAGTTCGGTGTGGTCTGTGGAAGTTTTGCTTGTTTTGTTTCCAATTGGATCGTGAAATGTATTTTCCAAAAGTTGCCACCCAAAGCTTCTGGGTGGCGTGAGAGAGGATACTGCAGAGTCCTGCACCTAAAGATGGATTGAAAAGTTCATAGATTCTATGTGTTTTTTCAAAAAACAAGGTAGCCTGCAGACATTTTTGTTAAAACACAAAACCTTAGACATTTCCAAGAGCAAGTAGTTAATACAATAACAAGAATTAATTCACAGCAGAAACAATTCCACGAAAACAATTTAAATGTGATGGCAAGTTGGTATCCGGGAAAACAGTAAGGCGAATGGTAACCATTCAACAACTTTACAGCCAACCATCAGAAACACTTATCCTCAGCAATCAATGCAAACGAGAGAAAGGTTCTTCAAAAGTTAATAATGCACGAATTTTCTGCACATACATACATACATATGTACTTATGTAATCTTATGTATATCAATGTGTACGGGAAAACAAGTAGGAGCCCAATATACGCCATTAACATGTGTAATTTAATGCACCCATGTTTGTTGTTTTTAAGAATATTGGTTGGAGAATCTTACAAATGGAGACGCGTATATCGACTCTATATATACATACATGTACTACTTTTAATAGTTGCAATAGAGTGGCCCGTTTGGTCTAACACATTACTGGAGTTGAAATTTTAGCCCTTAAGGGTTAACGTGTGCACTAATTGTTAGACAGTTTTATGATCAAATTGTTACAAAAACAGTTTTTTAATCTCTCACAGTACCCTGGTCAATTTTCAACACTACTATGCGTACATGATGATTCAAAAAACATTGATGGTTTTGTCCGATCCGATAATGGAGCGGTTGCTTGGACATGGAAGGAAACACAATCATCGGTGGGCCTTCAAATATCGAAGCTGCAAGGACTCGCCTGCGTCTGTGCTTCGGGGGCAAAGCGCACTTGCCGAACCACAGCACTTGAAGTCATGCTGGAGCTCACAACGCTGTGTCAAGCGATCAAATAGGCAACGAAGCATGCCATGTTGTTCATGGCAGTAGAGGGGCTTGGCAAAGAGAAGATACTGTCGTCTCACCAAACAAAGGCTTTAGGGAAAGACACACCACTAGCACTGCTTCCAAGATCTGGCGTTATGATGAAGTTAAACTTCACAAAGAAGCTTAAAGTTACTCTCGGCAGTAAGGCGAAGTGGAGTGATTCCACGCTCGACTTTCTACTGACGGGCAGCACTATCCAGTGCTATGCTGATGGCTCGAAAACACCGGAAGGCATTGGAGCAGTCATTGCGGGATCCCATACCATGCATCCCTAACTAGTCGGATATATGTAAGTAACCGCAATGAACCCGGATTTTTATCCAGTCGAATACTGTCAACTCGGCACTGTCCCTCGTAATTACTTCAGGAATGTTTTCTGCCGCTGCAACAAAAACAAAGATTGTTTGGCATCTATTGTATAAAATGAGCACCCTACCGCAAGTGCAGTAAAAGTGCGCACAGCCAAACGTGAAACCGTTGCAAGATCCAAAATAAATCGCAAAACGAGTCGAACATGTTTTATGTTTTAGGGAGATTTCCTCTACCATCACTACTGAGCTGGTGCGGACTCGCCGCTCTTTACAAGACCATATACTCACACAGCTTAGGGTTTATAAATGTACATATGTATATTAATGTATACATGAACGACTCGCAATTACTTGGTTGACCCCGCAATAAAAGCAATGTCCGCCGTCTTGGCGCCTCCCTTTTACCTTTTATTGGTTCGTTGTTTTCGCCTGCAATGATTCTGTTTGCCTCAAGCAGGATAGCAAAGGCCTTCCAGTCATGTAGTCACTGAATTAACGCGACTCCAACAACATGCGATCAACCGCACATTCACGTTCAACGCGCAAAAGCAATTTCACTCGAACTCGCATTCGTTGTTGTAATTTATTTAATATTTTTATTATTACTGCTGCTTGGCGATTTTTTATTACTCCACTGATTCACTGATTCTTATTTATTATTAGTTTTCCTCTTCACCGCTGCCACTTGCTAAAATATTCTGACTTCACTTTGGTAAAAGTATAGGACCGAAGCGTTGGCCCGTCTCAATTTTGACGCTTCATTTTAGCTGCTATTCGTTTTTTTTTTTTTTTTTCAAAATTGCATATTCAAACGCTCATATTTCCATATGAATGTACATATGTAAGTATGCGCTCACTAACAAAAAAGGCTGCTGCAAATCAAACGGCATTGGTGACAACAACAATGCCAATGCAGCAATTGTTGGCAAAAGAGGTGTCAAATGCAAATGTTAAACTTTGGAAAGCAATAATTTTTGTTTGTAAATAAAAACACAACGGCACACACACACACGCGCGCAAACTTCGCCAACTCGACTTAACGTTTGAACACTCAGAATCGCACTGAAGCAGAACACGCCGGTGGGGCTCACTTCCAGCCGCTCAGCCGCTCAACGAGACAGCGAAAYCACTTTCGGCGTGTTAAGCGCGCAGGTGAGCAGAGCTGCTACACGAGTACCAACGGGGCTGAGTGAGTGAGCAGCTTTTTTATCACTGCTGCTGCTCCACGATATTGGGCGCTCTTTTGAGTGTGTTTTTGAGACGGGCATGTTTTGAGCGCCACAAATGTGATCGCCTCCAGAGATTCTCAAGCTTGTTGTGATGACAGAAAAAACACACGATCTTTAAAAAAAAAAATCCAATTCGCAACCACAATGCACATTTAACCACATAACCACTTAAACACATATGTACAATATCAGAGTGATATATTCATATTAATATTATATGTGTTTGCTCTATTGCACTTAGAAATAATTTATTATGCACAAAGCTAAGCTTTACATTCGTAATAATAATAATAATACACAATACTCATAAAAATATTTGAAAGTGGCTTTCGTTCCACAAAAAATAACGAAATACTCGGTATCTGCAAACAAAGGTCTCTACCACAACGCGAATTCAATGCGAACGTGCTATGTCCGAGAAGAAGTTCAATATATCTTGTATGTTGAATTCTAAGGTAATCATCGCTCCCGCGTARCATTTCTGTATGCGTTCTTCCAAAAAATTGTACTGCGCAATGAACTCCTCTTGCATGGCGTGCCAAACTACTTGCAGCAGATTCTCCTCCTCGCAGAGGTGTTTTTCCACTTTTTTGTAGAGATTCTCTAAACCTTTCTTAACCTCACGAGCTGGATACTGGCTGATAACTTTGCGCAATTCTTGCTTAGAGAACACCATTTGGTAGCTGATCTCCGTCTCTTTGACACCTTGAGCCACCTTTTGTTGGACACCTTCAAAGAAGAGCTGAAAATAAATGGATTTGTGTGAATATATACAATTCAGTGGTTGCAGTAATAGAATTCAGTAATTTACGTTTAGTTTTTCCAGYGGACGACCAAAATATTGTATGACATAAACTTTCAGCGCATCAGTATAACGCATTTTGGCTTCCTTCTTCATTGCATCCAGACCGGGCACCTTTAGCTGCGCCAGTAACGAGTACATGTGGTGGTAGTTTTCCATGCGCACGACTTGCGACGGCGTTTTCGGGTGCTCTTGCGCATGCACACTGATGCTTTCAAAAATGGAATTCACCAACTGTAAATACCACTTTTCCATATCAGYGCGACGATCCGATTTTCGGAAAATGCCCTCGGAAGTTTGTGCGAAATACTCGAAATTCTCTACGTATGGCAAGATGCCACACTTGGAACGCTTAGGCACTTTAGCTTCTTTGATCGACAGAAGTTGTTGCTGCATAAATCGGTCAAAGTTTCGTTTTACTTGAACCAGCGCCGAGGCGAAGGTCATACTGAGGAAGGAATGTGTATCCTGGGCGGACATGACGTGCTGCGTTAGGCGTACGAGCACGTAAAGTGAATAGCTACAAATAAATGCACGAGTGAAATTAATATTCAACACTTTGAATTTAATAAGAAGACGTACAAACTATCAATGCGTTCAAAGCTTTGTATAAAGCTCACCAGCTCTGGCTCTAGGCAACCAAATAAAGCGATCATCAATTTGCGGACTTCTTCGTTTATTTGGCGATCTATTTTCTTCTGTGGAAATCCTACAGCAAGAACATTAAATATGAACAATGAGAATAAGTCAAAGCACTTACCACTTGCATCGCCTCCTCCACCTGCCGATGTGGGTGAAGTCAGAAGGCTCACGGAGTCWGTGCTTTTTTCTAAAACTTCCAAGGTGGTTTGAGTATTCTTCGATGTTGGGCTAATTACGTCCATTTGGAAGAAGTTTATGCAGAACATCTGCTCTTGTAGCGCGACTGGCTCCAGTTCCGCCAACACTTTTTCGAGTACGGAGTCAAAGCGTTCGCGATCTGCATTCTCCACTCCTGGCCCCCATTGGTCACGATTTACACCCAAAGTACCGTAAGGTGCTGCGGATATAGCGGATTTTTTCGAAGAAGCTGATGTATCAAGGTCTTCACGAGATGTACGCAATTTTTCGGATATTTGTAGTTTAGCCTACATGAAATTTCACTAATTATTCGATAATTTGTAGACAGAATAACTGACATACCAAGGAAAAAAAGTTTCTGATATCACGTTCATAAATCTTACTTAACGATGTGGTATAGACGCGCGTTAAGCCATCATAAGTTTTGCGGTCCATAGCCTTTGCCCAATGCATAAGCTCTGTGTAGGGCGTTAGCTCACGATGTACCGATAGATGGTTGGGTAGTACAAGCTCAGTACTCATTGTCGTATTATCCCCCATCTCATTTCCCAAATGTATAAACAAATTGTTCATAAAGCGACTAACAATTCCCGAGAACTTTGCTTTCCATTTTTCAAATCGTTTACGTTGATCCTGAACTGCTTCTAGACGCAGCAAAGTTGGGTCAATGTCACTGTTCATKGCTTGTTGTAAACTTTGTGCGGCAGCAATGGCAGCTTTTCTACCGCCAACCGTTTTCAAATCGGGTTCATCCAGCGCCTGTTGATGTATGTGTGGCAAATCCAACTGAGACTGTTACAGTTTTATTAATTTTTGCTTTTAAAACTTTGGTTCTATTTCAACAACAAATAACTTACAATTACTTTATTTAATTCTTTCATCAATTTTATGTTGTTGTTGTTCGCRATTTCTATCATAGCATTTTTACCACCAATCTTCTCCATGGTCTCCTTTACATGTCCTAAAATCTCTTCATATGAGTCCAAACGTTTCTCAAAACTATCAGCTTCAGCGATGGCTTTATCAATGTGCTCCATTAAAGCAAATACTTGCTTTTCAGATGCCAATACACTTTGAATGTTTGCCTAGAAAATAATTAATATTATAACCACAGCGAAGATAAATAAATATTTTTTACGTACCCCGTCTAAATCATGAAGTTCTTTAGACAAKTTTTCAATAAGCTGCTCCGCATCCTTCACTGCAAAGTCACATTCAGAAAACAACTTTCCCAATTCAGTAGCTTCTTTATCCGTAAGTGCGGTAAATTCTTGCGCTTCTTCTTCGTCATCTGTATCTTGAATAGTTTTTTGTTCGGCACCTCGCCCAGCAGCTAATTTTTCTGGTGATTTGTCGTTTAGCCACGCATTGGGCACATTTCGAAATTCTGCTCGTTGGGCTCTCACATATTTTTGTATTTGTTTGTATAGCACAGCAAGAAAATTTTGGCGTTCGTGCAAATTTAAGGCATACCATTTATATGTTTTTTCAACTTGTATATCAAACTCATGTGTTTCAAACTGCTCATTGCGGCCATCCACCCATTTAATCTCCTCCAACTGCCAGGTACGTTTCTTTTTATACTCGCCTTCTCTTTGCTCGGACTGCTTCACTATGCATACAGTAACTACGGGCACAGGAGGCGGAGTGGTTACGATACATAAATAACAAGCCTTCTTCTTTTTAAATGTTTTTGTCACCGTTACCACAGACAACACTCGCTCGCCACTTCCATTGAAGAGCTCTTTTTGGAGAATGTGTTTTATATTTGCCAAAGTAGTCAGCATTATAAATACTAAAAACGCCTCCCAATTTTCTATACAAAAGTTAAAAACTATGCAATATCATTGAAATTACAAGAAAATTTCTAATCTCTAYATTCGACGCCCTATTAGCAAAATACCAATTGATGACAGCTTCGAATGCCAAAGCCACCAGCTGATAGCTGCGATAAAAGTGTTGGAAAATTATTTAAATGAATTRTGATGAAGCATTCGATATTCAAATATTTTACATATTCCAATATAAGAATTATTTGTAAAATATAATTAACTGAAATAATGAGTTTATATAAATTTTGATAAGGACTAGCTTCAATAATAATATATGTTAATTTTAATAAAAATGTAGTATATTTATGTGGTGCCGAGTTTCGAAATAATCTCTCGACATCGAAAAGTAATCTTCGAAGATATAAATGTCAAATATTCCAATACATTTTTCTTGCAGTTTTTTCATCGAGCTAACAACTGACGTGAGTGCGAACTAGAAAATAATAAATTATTCTGATMTTTAGACATAATATTTTTATTTCAACAGAAATAAATCAATCTACAAATATGTTGGTGCAACACATTTTGARACAAGGACTTTTGGTTAAAAACGGTAAATACACTTACACAAAAATTCTATTTCTAATAACCCTAGTGGTCATTACATAACCTTTTTCACTTCTTTTCCACCAGTGAAAAAGTTCTACGAACAAAGTTGAGCAAAGTAAATAAGTAATTCATTTTATTATTTTAGCCGGAGCTCTGTCGCGTGCAGCATACCATGGTGGTCATCATCAACAWACTACCTTAAATGATATGCCCGTGCCAGAAGGTGATTGGAAAGAGCAATACTCCCGCCAGAACGCCAAGTACAATGCGTGGTTAGTCAGTGGAGTTCTTCTCTTAGCGGGCACCATTGGTTTCGTAAGTAGACACAGTATATTTCGGAAGCATGATCTTAATTTTTTTTTTATATCAGGTTAAGACATCTGGAATTATCGAATTCAACAGCAAAGCACCAGAATCGCTTGACTAGAGAGTTATATAGCCTAATTCCATGTAATATGTGACTTATTATAGGCGTGCATTAAAATAAGGCTAATGTAACCGACGAAGAGTTGCTTAAGTGAAAATCTTAATGTTGAGAAAAAAATAAAAGTCAATGTGATGTGTAAAAAATGTAMTTTTTCTTTAATAAACAGGACCATCATCAAGATTGTCATCTTCTTCATTATATGATTCACCATTATCGAAATAACTRTTACCATAATCGTTTTCGTCATCCATCTCTTCGTCTGCGGGCGCTTCCTAGAAAATATATAAGATGTCAAATTCGGTTTTATTCGTTTTTTGTCTTTACGACGCACTTCCTCCTCTTCGTGTTCGGAGTCTGAAGAAGCTTTTGTGATATCTTTTTCGTCCTCATTGCGTTCTTTTTCCTCCAGAACTTTTAGGTGATCGTCAATATTTCTAGGCTTTTTGGAAACAATTTTATCGCCTCCTGCAACACGACGTTTTTTCTGTGTAATATGTAATTCAGTTGGCATCATTTGCCAAATAAAATCCGCTTTAGTTTTMGTTTTAGCATTTTCAACCGCGCTCTGCAATAATTAAATGTTAATATGGATATTGTATGTAAATAGAATGTCATAAGCTTACCGCCCATTGGTCAGAATAGCTTTGTAAAGTACTATTTGCATTTGGGATTTTAGGAGCAAGGAAATAGGGGGAATCGCGCATATGATTAAGATAAGCCTCCCTCCAAAGTATTTGATAATTTTGTGCCGCTGTAGTCTATAATAAAATATAGTTAGAATCAACCATAAGCTACATACAATGCGGCTAATAATTTATTTACCTCAAGTTTAACCGGTTTAGACATAAGTGGAGGAAATGTAGGCGGAGGCGCCGTCTGCACTTGTGGAATATCCTTGCCTATACAACCTAAAGTCTGCAATTGCTCTTGAGTAAGTGAGCCAGTTTTGCCTCGTCCTCGACCTGCCATTTTTATTGCCTTGTAATAAAAAAATTTGTCTTACTTTAAAATCACTCTCATTTTCTAACTTATATATGCCTTCTTTAAAATCACATCAAAATAAAGTAATCGAAACTAACCTCACACTTTCATTGTTTTGATTGAATTTAGAGTTGTCGATGCCAATATAAATAWCCGACATAGTTGCCAAATAATGTGAAGTACTTTTAAGTTTTGTTTCGTATATTTCACTATCGTCCGTTTCTATTCCAAATCATTTTTATTTTCAATTTCATACAGAAATTGATWATTTATTGTTATCTATCCGAATGGACATAATATGGTTTTATTTCGAATATTGGCATATGGAAATTGTTTCCATCGTTAATAAATACATAACAACTTTTAATATATATACATCTAATTATGGATAATATATTGTCTACATTTTGTTCAATACAAAGTATGAWATTTAAACTTTTGAATTATTTTAAAAGTTACACATTTGTATATATACTAGTAAAAAATTATTGTAAATATATAAGTAGTTAGTTCTTGAAATATATTACATCATTTTATGAAATTTTACTTCTCTTGACATGCATGATTTTCACCATTCGTTGYATATTTAGTTCCTACGTCCAAGTCTCCCGTTTCGGTTAAACCAACTTTTTGCATAAGTTCCGAGAGCTTTTGCGCTTTGCGATCTTCATTATGAGCAATTACGGTACATAAATGTTCGGTAAGCAATTCCTTTTTCTCTGCCGCRTTATGCAAATCTATTTTTGCTTTCAAGAATTGAGCCTCTATTTTGATATACTGTTTCCTATAAATGTACACTTCTGTATTAGAATCAAATATAAGAAAATTTATACATACTCGACTTGCGAAAAATAGATACAGGCATTATCAATTTGCTTGCGCAGTATTGACACATCAAGAGCTAGGTCATTGTCCAATTTGGCAAGTTCATCTTTGATTTCAGAAATTTTCCGTGCCTCCGCAGCAGTTTTTTGTGAGCTGTAAAATAAAGGATTTAACAATTTGAAACTTGTTTCACATACTTTGCAAATCTATATTTACTGTAATTCTATAGCTTTGTACAATAGCTCCTTCTTTTGTTTATTTTGCTCCTCGATCAATTTACGCTGCGTTTCAAATTCTCTCAGAGACATTCCTCTAAAGGGAGAATCGGTGTTCAGCTGGTCCACAGTGGGTTTAGAGACTTTTGACTCTTGGGCTGTTGGAAGTATTGAAGAATCATTTGCCTCATTTGTAGATGTGGAAGATACATTATTATCTCCTGTTGGCAGCTTCAGTATTGAAGATTCATCTGATTCTGTGGTATGGAGATTGTTGCTTGCACCGTTTGACTTTACAGCTAGYTTACAGATGGGTTGGTAGAACAGCGCTTCCTCAATTGATTTGGACATGCTGCCATCAAGGTTGATGTCTTCCAAGGTATCATTTACCGTTACAATATTTGTTTCTGGTTTATTACTTAGTAAACCCGTAGACACAGATTTCGATGACTGAGAACTTTTCATCTCTTTCCTTTGAGATTCAACTGATCTTGTCCACTTCTCAGGCATACGTCTTATACCTCCATGCTGCCCACGAAATGCTGGCCTTACTGTTATATGTAATAATAAATAAATAATAATTATTCATTTAAATTAATTTAACTTGTATGAAAGATGGTATGTATACTTATATATTCTTACGTCTACAGTATTACTCCATACATGCAAATAATACTTACTTTCATCCGCTATTTGCTGGCCTTGATTACTTCTGCTAGTGGAACCTCCAGAAACTTTCTTTATCTCATCCTGACTGAAGCCGTCGAATTTGTTCGACATTTTAAATTGTGTAAATTAATCTAACTAAAAAATAAGCCGCCTTTCAATATAACAATGCGTGGAGAATTTTTAAACTTAATGCAAACAAAACATCAAAGACCCATAAAATAAAGAATATTAATATTTACCAACCAACACAACGGCGAGAAATGTCAAACACATCATCAACAATTGATGATCTTCGGACAGTGTTGCCGCTTTCATTTGCTTTGCGATCGTTGCACTAAATTCGAAAATGATAAAACTTTTCTTGATCTGTTATTTGTTCGTTCGAATATTATATATGTACATATGTATATGTACATTAGTGAATTTCAGTTTATTTATTGAGTTATTAAAAAGAAATAAAATCATAATGTTTAACAAGTCCACATGTTACGACTTGGGTTCATAATTCTAAGATCGTTATATTTAATTCTTTACGAAGCTCCCCTATATCTTGCTCCCAGCGTTCTTCCCAAAATACAGGCATTAATGGTTGCATTTTCTTTCCATTTTCCAGAGCCCAAGGCAAATAACGAGAAACATACTCCTTCCGTTGTCTATAAGTTGAGAAAATAATTTCGAAATTTTCATTATTCATAATTTACATGATACACGTTTATATTTACTTAGGACGTAGACGCATGGCCCCAAATATTGCACCCCCATAACACATAGGCAGCCCGTTATTCAACGCCTCTACCCACTTAACGGCTACTTCACCCAGCATATTGGTAGGCATTCCCAGCACTGTGTGCACCAGGTCATGACACTCGCGGTAGCGTGTCATCACATATGCCAACATTGGATCAGCAATGAAACGTACTTCCATACGCGAGTCGGGTGTTACTTTCTGTAAAAGTTAACGATTAATTATTCACGTCCATAGCATTAACTGATATAGTGTTTATAATTGTTAAATTTACATTGTCATCCAAGAACTTTACGTAGACCCGACCMAGAGTATTCTCTCCTAAGGTACGTAAATGGTTCATATCTACGGCATGCGTGTTTATACGTGGCTTCTGTTTCAGTATGCGTTCACCCTCAGCAGTGAGTTCCATTATGTGTAAGATATTCCKCAAGGTCGATTCGCCGGTGGTTTCCCCCAAAGCGGCGATCATGTCATGTCTATGAGGGTGAACTAAGACATTAGAGAAATAAGCTACATGTGCAACTTATTGATTCACCTTCGTGGATCAATTAAGGCGGCAATTGATGAACCCGCGCCGAGTAGTATCCTCTGAAAAGGCGACATTTCTATGCGATTTTTAAGAAACTCTTTGGTAAACTCATCCAAGTGTGTGTCATTACCAGGTGGACTATCCCTGTTTTCGGTACCTRTATTGTTGCTTTCTGCTGTGGCTGTGACATATCGACATATAAGAGGACCCCGAAATAAGCGAGTTAACAGATTTGAACGAACGGTCTGCATTATTTTCGATGTGAATAATTCAGCTAATGATAAACGTATAMATTTTTCAATAAAATACACTAATTAACGAAGTATTACAAAATAAATAATTTTCAATTGGATTCATTACTATCAATTCTAAATATATCTTATCTGCATATTCATCAAAATAGCCTTTAGTAAAAGTGTTAAGATAGCAGTTTTTTTTTAATTTTCAAACCTGTGCCTACAAAATAACTTTCATATATGGATATGTACATATACAGTGAAATCGCTCATAATCCAGTATCCGCAGGACCAGTATTTCTGTGTGCTTAGTAGATTGTCCTTAATAAACTTAAAAAATATTGAGACGGACCAAAATGCAGTAATGTTTGTGTTGTTGTTGTTGTTGTAACGGCAGAATTCTGCCGAGTTGMCAGTCCTTGGCCGGATAAAAATCCGGGTCCGTTCCGGTTTTCGTAGACCCGGCTGTCGTGGGAACGGAGTAATGTTCGTGTCGAGATGTCTGCTTAATAGAGCGTCAGATATCACTGATATATTCCATTTTCTTATGTATAAACACATGTATGTTCACAGTATATCAACTGAAAGATCATGGACTTCCCATAATTATCAACCAAGATACATACATACACACAGACGCAAATAGATAGAACGGTAAAGCATTATCTGCTGATTGGCTTCCATTTCAAGACAAATATTATTTTGGTAAAAATCTACAAAATATACATATCCATATGTATGTATTCATAGGCTCAAAAATATTTTTACACTTTCCCTTATCCCTTATATACTGTATTTAATTTTTATTTATAAGCGTTGCAAATGATGAGTAATAGTTGTGAAGCAAGAGGATTTGTATTTCCGCATTATTATTACAAGCTGTAATAATCAATTATAATACGATTTCGATAAATATACCGATAGTTTACAGACTTATTGAAATTTTCAAACAAATATACATACACAAAATGTGAGATGAAAAGTATTTTTATCATTTACCTACCGTAGTTCAAATCTTACATCTTTACTTTGTTAATTTAACAAACATGTTATTAAATTTAATTTTTGTTTTATTTATATAGCCACTTCAAAGCCTTCAATAAAGCGACGTCACTGCTATTTCAGTTATTGTTTTCTCAAAAGCTTCACAGAGCTCGAAAAATATGCTTATATGTATAATAAATCATATATGCCTAAGTAGGTTCATATCTGTATATACACATGTACATAAGTATTTATATAAAACTAAAAAATTTGCACATATGCAAGCAAAGCGTTTTGGACGCTAGTCAAATAAAAAATTATATGTGTATGTATGTATGTAGTTTCAATGCCAGATAATTGCCTTTTGAACAATTGTGCAAACTAAATTCGTCTTAAAAATGTTGTTTTTATATTTAGAGTTTTTTCACGAAGAATACGATTATTATACAATTTTCAAAACTAAGAATATTGAAATTAAAAGCATTATGCAGTAAAGGATACAGTTATCTAATATACATATACAAATGTATATACTATATCTATTTTATATATGGTACATACAATTATGAAGAAATAAGAATTACCTCAACAACAATGTACATACATACATGTGTACATATGTAATGTATTTCGAATTAATTAAAATTACAAGGTTAGTRTTATAATATCAATACGTTTTTGATAATTTCAATTACGTAAATAAATACATAAATACATATGTATGTATACATGTTGTACATACATACATATATCCATAGATAAAATATATTACAAGAATATAAAATGATTCGTCATTTCTCAGCGAGTTTGAAGGCTATCATAGGTGTTTCTCGTATATGTATATATGTATGTGCATTCATCACTTCACAGAACTATTCAACTTAGGTAAKATAAACAAATACATATACATAYACATGTATACTCTTTTTTACAGCATGGATCTGTGGGATTATTTTTTGGGTACAATGAACTCAATTTGCGRGTTATAAAAACAATTAAGCCCATACGTTTGTATGCACTTAGGTGTGTACCGTGGTGTATATATGTACATGACAAGTGTGTATGAACGAAAACAAATTTAAAAAAACTTCAAAAAACTTCGTACTTCTAAGCTAACTTCACCATAATGTTCAGATTGACATCGCTCATTAACAATTGTTATTACTTAAATGTTAATATTTATTAGCTAAAATATTTAATATTTAAGTTTGTTGACTAAAGTCGACTTTAACTTGCCCGCTAAATCCTAACACGCAGGCCCTTATACCTACGGGTAAAATGACATTTACGCATGCGTATAGTTTTTAGATTCAGGTGCATACATAAACAACTTAAAATTACATACATATACATACATACATATGTACATGCGTATATGTTTGTACAAAAATACTTCACGGTTTGGTTTCAAAATTTTAATTCTGCTTTTTGGGAAAGAACTCTTGTTTCTACTAATTGCAGCAAATTACTTACTTAGGGTTATTTCAAAGAAGAAGCTCTCTGTATGTATGTTCATATTAGGTCGCATGTTGGTTAGCATTGAAAATATATTTTATCTGCGACATGACTTGGTTTATTCCCATATCGTGCATACACAGTAATGCAAACAACTTAAATGCTTTAATACATACATATATACATGCATACACATATATAGTTTATATAGTAAGCAACTCAAAAGCAAGTAAACATTAACATTGGCATATACAACTTACGCTAATGATAAGACAGCTCAGCAAATGTAAGACAAGTTGAAGTCGATGGCTACTAATTGCTGGCAAATTTTTAAGCTTATATACGAAACTCCGTGCTAATGAAGAATTTTACGTTAATCAACTAATTACACACACATACAGCTGGAAGTGTTTAAAATTTATCAAATTAATTCTAGTTTATCTACAAGCGTTTTTTAAATATSTAATGTATTTAAAATTGGAAGGGCATTCCGATCCGTTAGGGTGACTCTAATGTTCCATACACATATGTATTTGTGTATGTTCACTTACGTAATATTAAAACACATTATTTTCTTTTAGTAAAATATGTATGAGTTATATATTTATTTTAGATATACAAAATCACAAACAAATTTAGTTTGACTAAAATAAATCTTTTATAATTTTTTTATATCATGTTGTTACTTAAATCAACAGCAAAATTACATACATTGCCCATTGTCGAGCTAGTGACTATGACACTTTAGTTGCATGCAATTTTTAACACCCACAACTTATTTACAAATAAATTGCTACCTCCCCTAAATCGGAACATAAAATTCAATGCTACACATATCAAAGTATAACTATGGCTTTGGCAATTTTTTAAAAACTAAAAGTAATAATATTACGTACATGGCTACTGTTACTTATAATTTATTAAATATACACGCATATTTTTAATGCCCCATCCTAGTATTTACTTCGTACAAACGCTTTGTTTTCCTCTCTACATTTTTGACGTGAAATAACTTTTGGCGTTTAGTTTCGTTTTCCTCTACTCTAGTATAAGCTTCCGAATGCAAATACCTACTCACATATGTGCGTACATATATTTTTGAGAGATAATGCACGTTTTCCATGTAGAATGTGTCGCCAAATACTTTTTATACATCTAATACTTATCTACAAGTAAATTTCTTAGTATACTACACTGCTATTCCTCTTGTTGTTGGTATTAATAGTTCCTTATCAGGTGCTTGCTTCCGCCTGAACGTAATGTATGTGTATAGCAAACTAGCAAATACACTGATATTAATTCCTATACAATTTAGCCATGAGAAGATGTAGTCGCCGCCGATGAACATGCCCAGATATGTTACACATATGTTCTTTAAGCAGCCAACAATTGTTGTTGTAAGCGCGGAATTGTATTGCGTACAAAGTATTGTACTGTATGATAGAATGAAACCCATAAAGCAACTCATTAGGAATTGTATGACAAAGTAAGGATTTTGCCATTGATTGTAGGCTACCGATTTATCCARATCTCCAGTAACATATGTAACAAGCAGTGCAGGTATAACCATAAATAGTGAGTTGTAAAACATTAGTCCATATTTTCCAATTTCCGAAGTGTCCAGCTTCTTTTTAACATACACTCCATTCGATGCAGTAAGCGCATTRGTTATCATTACGAAGGTATATCCCCTCATGTTGAATGACAGATCATCCGAAGCAGCCAGCAGGGCACCAGCTATCATGGCATATACRCTAACTTGTACAGCAAATGAAGGTCGCACTCCCAATATTTTTAATTCCAGTAACATCGTCATTAATATTGAAAAACGACGTAGTGCGGCAAACATGGGCAAGCTAAGTTCTTTTGTGCCACCTAAGCCAAACATCATGTTTCCAAGAAATATTAATGGCAATGGAAAAATTTTCATAAACGTATTTCGTTTTAGTGGAGGATACGATACGAACTTTAACTTCCGACCAAGTCCAAGTACCACAATACTAGCTAACAACTGGCCCAAACTTAGGAACAAAAATGATGGAAAATGATACGATGTAAGAACTGTTTTATTCACAACGGTTATCATGAAGGATGCCATTCCATAGAAAAGGGCACTGCCGACCTTCTTAAAAAACAACGTGCCATCGTCGTTATGGCGCAGCTCCTTTGAATTAAGACTTGTTTTACTATCATTGCTGCTGCTGCTAGACAGGTCCAGTGTAGTATTCTGCTCATCACTGTTATGTGTGGTCATTGCACTGAAGTTAAAAAGCGGCAGGGCGCTTCGTGAAGTATTCCTTCAATTACGAAATCACAGTCTTTTAAACACTTACACTTTCACTACTATTATATTATATTTATAATAATATTTTTATTTGCAACATAACTAATTTTTATGTGGCATAACGTTTGTTAACTAGTAGGTTAGCTTTTATAAGGTAATCAGATTTATAAATTAACAACATCACCATGAAATTTTAGTGACCATTTTGACAGTCGCGAATTGACTAACTTCACAGCTGACAGCACAAACTCATAGCTGTCAAATAAGTAAGCACAATTAGCCGAAAAGGGTAATGACACTTATGCATTAACTATGAAAACTATAACGGAATTCAAAATTATTAAAACAGCTTACCTTATAAAAATAAATAACTATTTTATTATTCAATAATATTATTTAGAAACTTTGCCAACTTTGAACAAATGCTTGATGGCGGAATACTAAATCACCAAAAATCAGCTGTTTAAATGTATAACAGATTTAACAGGTATGATTAATTCCGTAACTTAATATTTTTTTTTAAATTATCTATAAATGATTTATGAAAATGGTAAATCTTATTAAATTATTTACAATAACTCAATATTGAGAGGATTTTCAGCAATTTTTTCGATTTTTTAAGATCAATTATGCCATGTATGAAAATCAAAAAGTAAAATGTTAAAGTATGAATTAAACGAAAAGAAAATAAGTTGGCATAATTTATTTTACACATGAAATAAAACGCATGAAAATTCATCTATAATAAATTTATACCAAAATTGTAAAAGTACAATTCAATTGAAAGATGAACGTAAAATGGATCTATGTGCTGTATAGCGAAAAAAATTCGTATCGATCGAAAACACAAGTGTAACGTGTATAGTTAGTTTTATGAAGTTTAATGAATAAATGAATGAATGATTGAAGTGGAGATTATGACAGTTTCGTCCAGTGCCATGTCTTAATGCATCTCTGATTTTTGTAAAAGGAATGGGCCACCCTAGTTCAGCACAGCTGACTTATTGAGTATTTACAAAAGTAATATATTCTTTTAAATTAGAAAAGAAGTCAATYCACTTAAAAATGCATAAAGCTAAGAAGAAAACCAAGACTGGTAAAATTCCAAAGCCGATTAAAGTAAAGAAGGAAAAAACTGAAGAAGATCGCTCCCTTCACCCCATGTCGCACTACATTGACGACCGGCTTGAATTAGTAAAACAAATCTTTGGATCACTTAAACCGAAAACAATAACCAATCTAGCTCCAGATTTCTTAAAGGTACTAAATGCTTTTTATATTGCAAATATTTTGTAATGGCATCAAATTTACTTAGAAAAAAAGTATGGATGAAATTGAGGAGCTTTGCTTTAATGAATTATTAGGTATATCTACCAAACGGTTGTTATCCATAATTAATGCTACAAAGTGCCCCTCGGATACAGAATCATCCGGCGATTCTGATGTAGAACACCAAGAAGGTATGTTGAACCAAGTTAGTATGGATTTCATTTGTAAATCTATATTATTAATAATTGCAGAACACATCTCACTTGAAGAAATCTCTTCAGATAGTGAAATCGAAGGTACATCTTCCAATGCCGGTAAGCTATGTACATATTTACCCGTATGAAAAGATATACTATTTCGGTTTAATTTTGTAACTTTGTAAATTTTTATTATGTTTAACTGTATTTAAATTTTTCACCAATAGGTATTGGGGGCAAATAGAAAGCTCGAAGTATAACTACGTCCTCGTTAACACCATACTGTACGTCGTCTTCATCTTCCTTGCAGACTTCCAGTGTAATTACAAAATCACCGGTTTCCAATAAGCCACTAACGCGCCCAAATTCGATGCCATATTCAATTGGGCTGAGATTCGCCTCATTCATTTCTTTAGTGTAGAGAATACCACGCAAGTTCCGTCGCAAGTTCAGTGCCTTTGCCAATTTCAACTTGCATTCAAATTCGTTTTCCTCCATAYTTTCTAAAGGCAACATCATTAAGACGGGACAGTAAATTTCTACACGTCCCAGCGCCACAGCAGCCGTTTCGCATTTACTATGCATAACAATCGCTTGGCACTCCACTGAGGTGATTGTCCGTATTATGAAATTAACTATGCTTTGATAAGAGGAGAGAATATTCTTCAAAGCCGTGGAATTCTCTACAACAGCTTTGTGGAAATCCTTCAGAGGCAACAATTTTTTCACTATCAGTGGATATTTGTTGCACCAACTACTCTTCTGTATAAACATCGTATCGATACGCCARAGAAAATCATGATTTTCAAATCGTTTGAAGTCACTACAACGTTCCAATGGTATTGTTCCTATAATAGGCTTTTTCAAACATTTCGCCAACGGTATTAAATCGTTAATTATATGATTTTGCATGGAAGTGCTGGCACAGAACATGTCTTGTATCCAAACATAATCCAGTAATTTAACGATGCCCATTAAATCGAGCATTTTTGTACTGATAAATTCTAGATCGATTGTGCCAATTAATTTGAAATTATACTCGTCTTTTAAACTGTTACGTAACGTACGAAGGAATGGCTTACAGCGGATGCGTGGCAATACGATGAAGTCGGCTTTTGATAGGGCGGCCAACTGAAGGTCGTTCATAAATAAGTCGGGGAAGGTTTCGTTGGACAATGAGTAACATTGATTTGGTAGCTCGATATATTCATACGAATTAATTATGCCAGCATCTTCAATTACCAGCGCTATATTGTTTTTAAGTTTTTTGACTATCTTGCCTTTTACCTCATTTCCGAGCAGGAAAATATCATCAAGCTTTAATGATTTAAAATAATATTTCAAATTTAAGACAAAGGCAATCTCTCGAAAGCTTGAATATCGGTAAGCTTCATCCAGAGTTAGCGTCATAATATCGCCCCGATGTAAAAGCACCGAACAATTGTTTCGCAAACGTCCAATACGACAGCAGTCACCCTGGAACTGCAATGCTATCCCAATTGGAATGCGAATTCTGTGTTCTTCCTCTTGAAATTTATCAATTATGGTTTTAGAGCGAATGAGCAATTGCTCAAATTCGTTGCGYTTACTAGTCACAGTGTCAATGAGAAATGTGCGTGCACCGTTCTTCAACARACTCCTGAGTTCGTCGTCTGTGGTTTCCATTACGATGCGCGCCATCAAACCAAGATTGTAATAGCGACGCTTGCAACGCTTTCGTGCATGCTTTTCATGTTCGTCACATGCGCGTTTGAACTCTTCCAAACGCTTCATTAAACTTTGATTATCATTTAAGAGCACCCTAAATTCTCGCTCATTGTCTTCCTCCTCCTCACCCACTTGGGAAGTGACGGCATCGCGTTCACGGTCCTCAAGAGCGTATTCCATCTTTCATAAAAAAAATTTATAAGTATATATGTATATAATACTTTCCAATTTAACCAGCAAATATTTTATTTTAGGAAAGAAAAAGTCGAACGCATCGGACGCTAAAAACAATACCAAAAAATCAACAAAAAATYCTGCCGAAAAAGATGAAAGTAAGTATCACAAAACAAAATTTAAGAAGTGACAGAAAAAGTCAAACAATATTGAGTGAAACACTCGAGTTTATGTACGAAGAATAAATATATTTTTAAGTAATAAACTTAMAATRGGTTTTAATAAAGTTTGGTTCATCACAACGAAAGCATTATTTTTACAATACCTTTTTTTTGCTTGCATTCTTTTAATCCTGGCAATACTTTAATTTGCAGATAATGGACAAATAAGCGTGTTGGAGCTTCTGGAATTGCAAGCCCGTGCGAGGGCCATACGCTCGCAACTAGCGCTTGAGCCAGTAACAAAAATCGAATTAGACTCTGATCCCGAGAAGAGAGATGGAAAAAAGAGCGGCCTCAAATCCACAAACGGAACCACTCCAAAGGAGCATAAACGTAAACGTAGACGTAAATCTAGCGAGAAAAGTAAAGATGCTGAGAAATCGCAAACTTCCTCTTCGAAGGCGATCAAAGAAACTGCTAGGSCTGATACTAAAACGCCTAGTATATCAAATGTGAAAGTAAAGAGCAAAGAAGATGARTCCCAAACAACAAAAACAACTAAAATGAAGAGAAATTATCGCGTCAGCAACCAGGAGCCCGAATCCGGGGTTAGCGAATCTGAAAATAAATGTAAAAATAAAGAATCCCTGACTGTTGCTAAAGATGTGAAAGCAGAGACAAAGTCCCGTTCGCCAACACCAGATGTTATACCAATAATTCCAGAGCCAGAAACTTTATTCATCAGTGACAGTTCGGACGGCGAGCACAATGAGAAAGATAAAAAGAAAACAACACCAGTTGGGTGTGTTAAAAACGGCACAGAAAATAAGGTTGTTAATGCAACTTCGCGAGAACGWAAACTAACGGAACCAGAAGAAGGTGAACTGATTGAAAGTCAAACGGAAAATGATCAACAAGACGATCATATGGAAGCTAATGAACCCAGTGTGGGTTCATCGGCCACTGAGAATACGGAGTCTGCAACGAAACTACAAAAAATTGATGACGTAACGGCTGAAACAAATAAATCAGAAAACCATAACGCTGGGGAAGTGGGAGAAAAAGTACMTGATTCTGCAGCTATCTCAACCGAAGCAAACATTGCGACCACAAATGCTGAACTGCCGAAAAAGGAGGAACAAAACTTAGCACCTAGTCTCGAAGATGAGGACGATGGCAATGATGACGTCATCTCGCTCGAAGGTGGTGATCTTGAAGAAGAGATGATTGAGCATCTGGAAGAAGACACAAACACAAAATCGTCCTTTGCAACTTCACCAAACAAAGCCAACACAGTCAATGAAGAGCAGGATGCTGACGTAATATCACTAGATTCGAGCGAGGAGGATGAACAAGAAAAAACTAGTTCCGAGGTACATCATTCAATATTATTATATATGATATGTACTTTTCAATTATTGTTTGTCATATTTTATTTTTTATTTTTGTTTTAGTCGTGGCATTCGCGCTATTTGAAGAGTTCTAAAGTAAGCAAAGTGTTGGCGACATCGCGCCTTGGYAAACGTGTGCGTGACAATATCAAGAAGTCCAAACGTTCCAAAAAGGATACGGAGCGTGTAAAAGTTGCCGACGAGAAAGAAAAGCCGAGTCCAAGTTACGCCTCCAAGCACGAGGATGGATCTATCGAGCAGTATAAAGAGTTGCTGGCTATGCGGCAACGCAAAAAGTGAAACTCAAAGTATTTATGTATCACATACATACATATTTATAGTAGGTAGTAGTAAATGCAAATTTAAGTAAATGCAAATTTAAGAAAATGCAATACTTTCGTATCAAAATGTATTTTCTTCTTGCTTAGACAAAGCAAATAGCATAAGTCCATACAAGTTTATGCATAATCATACGCAATCGATTTATTTAATAAAAACCTGAAATGAAATGTAAAACTTTGCATTTTTGCGTGCTCAATCACAATGTATGAAAGTGTGTGTGTGCGTATGTCACCCCTAAACCAACCTCATTTATTCCATCTAAGCAATAAATTTCCTTCAGTTTTGTGATTCTCATTACTTTCACATTTTTATTTGGCATTATTTTTGTTGTTGCAAATTCTTTTTGCTTTCATGACAATATACTGCTATTTTCGTATTAAAAACTACAATAAACTAAATAACGCAAAAATATTTGAATATTTCGTGCCAAGCACAAATTTGAGTGAATTTTAAAAAGTCGAAGTCGAACGCAATGGCTCATAAAGTTTCTCAAACGGTTCCACCACTGTTGAGGCACGATTTGCATTGCGTACATTGCCCGACAATTTCCGGCAATCATTTGAATGCCCTGCGACACACACCCTCATCGCCGCTTAGGAACCCCAAGTCCACTCTCTTTCCGCTCGACACGTTGCCCGCCCAAAAGCAACACAGAAAAGCTTCAAAATGCTGAATTTCTTCTAATAGTGAGTGGGAAAGGAGTGTGACGTGGAAACAATCATGATTGATTAAAATGGGAGGCCTGATTTTTTATAGTGCAGCGTTCAAATGTGTGTTTCGATGGTAACTGGCGCCAGGAATATAATTAAATTCAATTCAATTTTAAATCTAAACAGCTAAATTTAAAAATTCCTTTTTTATTATTTTGATTGAAATGAAAATAGCAACTCACAGCTCCTAACGTTTTGACTACTTAATTGCTGTTCGTGTGTAGACATAAACACCTCCACAAATGTATGTATGTGGCATACATTCACACACACACACTCMCACACAAAMATTTTCTAACCCATTTACAATTTACCGGTCAACGAAGCAGTCAACAACAGACAAGACATCCCACACTGGACTCAATTTGTTTAGCGCGCAACAGACTATCAACAATAACAACAACTAGTCAAATTGTGTTTGGCCTTGTTAATGGCGTTGTCTTCATCATTTTCGCTGATAAAAAACAGCAAGCGCTTGTAAACAGACAGATTATACAGGGTGCAGTAGTTGTGTCGAACACATACATACCTACATCCCCGTGCTGTTTGAATTGTGTATGATCTCTATCTATGTGTGTGCGTATAACAGTGTTTCTCATATTGTGTTAACTTCGGCGCTGGAATGTGAGCGCGCAGGCGCATTGCAATTATAAAATTGACTCGTGTTCTCCAGCGCTTTTTGGTGGTGCTCTACATACTATGACTCTTCCTGATGATTTTATCCATATGTAGATATTTGTACATATATACAAGTGTAAATAATCTAGTACGCAAGTCAACATATTATATATACTATAAAATAATTTTATTTGTTTGTAATTTAAATATTTTACAAATTGTCCTAATTGTCCAAAGAGGACTCACTCTACGGAGTCGAAAGTTTGAAGCAGCTCTGAAGAGGTAAGATTGTAGTTACTCCGGCAAGCTWTTGAAGGAGGTAAAATTTTATTTCAGATAGAAAATTTCCCAGGCAATTGGCCTTCCTTGGGTTTTCCTGCGGCAGATAATCAGCAGTTGATCAAAAGATGGAGTGATTATTAGACAGATTTCAWTTATTTGGCGGAAATATGTGTCAGAGCATTGATTATCAAATATSTATGGCGAGACTACTTATCGACACCATAGAGTCACTATTCTCAAAGTAACCTTTTAAAGGGTTACTCTTTTGGAGGCAGTAATCTACTCTCCATGCGAATACTGTCCATCGTCCCCTTATAACATGCGAAAGAAATGTCGAAACCGCAAAACAAATAAATACAGGTATAATATGAACAAGCGCACACACACTCGTGTACTCCAAGTCCTTTTTTGCGTTTTTTGCTCTTGTCTTTGAGAGCGAAAGTAAATACGACAGTAACAAATGAGCGAATTGAATGGACTTTATATGTAAGTATGAAGCACTTTGTAGGTGCTTAGCTTGTTGATAGTCACAAGCAACGCCGTGCGCTCTTGCAGCAAACGAGCTATCGTGGAGGCACTTAGACGCTTGCGAAAGGAAATGCTTATAAGGGTGGTAACCGCACGATGGAGTCAACACTCACCAATACCAGCACGTTGACATTGTGTGGGAGTCGCTCGGAAAAGCTGGCTCTCTGAAATATCCTTTTGGCCGTGTCGTTGTGTCGGAGTTACGACGGGCTGCTTACTGCCTTTACTATGGTTCGCCATGCTTGAAGATGGAAAATTCGAATCAGTCTACAGAAAACGCGTCCGTGAACAGAAGTGGCCGTGTAAGGCTACACTTTCCGCGTGTAATTTTTGTCGGTATGATAAATAAGTGATACACCCTGTAAAAGTTCTGTAAGTTTGGAAATTAACTGCCAGCAAGTAGAGCAGARGCTCTTGTTCTTCTTCTCCTTCTTCTATACTTTCATTTTTTTTCTGCTCTCTATGTATTTTGGTTCTAATCTGAATGTTGTTGGTGTGTTTCTATATATATTTTTTAAACTAAAAAACAAAATCATAAATAAAATAATAAATAAAAAAGGTAATTTTGAATGTTAAAACAAAACTCAAACAACACTAAACTAACGGGAAACAGTATAATAATAAAGTGATAAGAAAAGATAAATGACGAAAAAGTGTTGAGCGTTCACGTAAAATAGAAAAGAAACAAAAAGGGAAAACGAAAAATTTCTTGCAGTGTGTGTAAGCTCATGAAGTGAATGGCAAACAAAGGATAATCGAATTCGCAAATAATGCACACTCCCACATACATACATACATACGTACGTACATCATATGAATTTGGGCATGTGTGCGTGCCATAGTGGAATTACAGTAAGGCCGTCTCGAACACTTGGTCAATTGTGAAGTGAATATGCAAACGAGTTGAACTTTCAAGTGCTTCCAAGCGAAAACTACTCTTCCAACATTCTTATCGAATGAGAACCGCACAGGTGCCGCGACATCACACTAAACGTAAAACTAATCAGCCCAATAGTCTCATTGATGGTGCCGATAAGAAGGAAAGGCGAATTCTTGCGAAAATCACTGTCGCCAGGCAGTGGAAATCGGAGCGGAGCAGCAACCATATTACATATTTTTAATACGAATTTTCTACAGCAAACACAAATAAAAGATTTAAGCATTTAGCCAAAGACATTGTGAGTTCAATCCACCATGTACATAATATGCCAATGTATATACACGTGTATGCTTGCAACAAAGTGCAGAAACCGTACACTTTCATTACGCTTACGAACTGCAGCGATATCCGAAATCAAACTTCCAATTGGCAATCAAAATTAAAGACATTGGACAAAAAATCGTATCTAGATAATATAGATTGGATTATGAAAAAACTGATTGAATTTTCAAAATATTTATGCATTTTAAAATAACTGCTTCTATCACCCGTACTATGGCAATTGTTCAATTTTTATATGAACTTTGGGTTGTTATTAGCATAGTGTGTAAATAATATTATAGTTTTCGTGAAAATAAATTTATATTTATTATATATGTRCGCTTCATACATTAGTAACTTATACAGATATCACAGAGCATATCTTATTCTTTTTGCTATATATATTCATACCATAGATATGCAAACTTGAGTACTTATCTAATGTGCATGTTTCTAGACTGTATTATTTTTTTTGTTAAATAACTTTTTTTTGATCAGTTGCTAAATGTATGTATGTATATATTTCGAGGGACTTTRGATRCAAGTACCGGTTAACGGTTTTCTARTATTCCTATTCAGGCACAAAATTTAGCCCTCAATGTATTTTTTCAACTTTTTTCTTAAAATCAAATTAAGCTGTTTATTATTAAGGGGTTATACAGTTACAGTTAGAAGGCCGAAAAAAGCGAATTTTTCAGAATATTTTCCGAGGAAACTTTTAAATTTATTGATCCAAAAATGTGTATAAACATTAGGGGCTTCATATAGTCTCATAAAGTTATAAGTTACACGATTTGAAAACAGAGCATTGAAAATTTTAATTGTGTAAACTCATTTTTGTGTGTAATCCAACAACAATTTTTTTTTAAACAAGTGTAAAAATTTAAAATTTTACGATGCTTTAAGAGAGGTTGTGAGTACCCCAATTATGTTATCTTTTAATTGTATTTTAAGACTTAGTATTGGTAAAAAATTGTTTGGAAAGGAACTACAGCTCTCGGGGATCTCCTCTCAAATAATATGTTTTGCGGTGACTACAATATTTCTGAACTATATCCTTTGAAATTAAAAAAAACCAGACAGATTTCATTAAAGTAATGTTAATTGTTGTAATTAATCGAAGGAGTATGGAATAATGATTTTTTGGCAAAATTGTGGGTTTCAAAAAAAATCGATTTTTGACCAAAATTTCGGTCCTAATTGTTTATCTGTTTAGCCGTTTTCGAGTAATATTGGTCATCGACATTGAAAACACCATTTTGGAAAAAAGGCGTTTAAAGGTTGGAATGCTCTGCCAAGCATCTTTGGCGATGTGCGACATAAAAAATATTTAGCAGTCTATTCAATTAATTTTTTAACTCTCTTAAGTTTCTTATTGCTTAAAACCAGGCCTAAGGGTATTCTAGTCTATATGCCTAAGTAAAAATGTCCATATTTCGAACACTTTTGGCAATTGATAAAAAAGCGTTAGATATTTTTAGCATCSGTTCTTTTATCATTTGTTTATTTATATTTGAAGAGAATACAAAATTATTTAAAAGAAATAATGGCTTCCTTTGAGTTATGCGTCCTAGAAGARAGGGAAAAGAACCGTGCCACTACATGAAAACGGCTTGAACTTCGGGAATAATTTGAATATTGAAAAATCCTTTTAGGGAGATAGTTTTGAATATCTAAAGTATCGAGTTTTAAAAAAGTGGCATTTTTTTTTAAATTAAATTTCTAGAGTAGAATAGTCCTTAAAAAAAAAAAGGAGTTGACAGATGGAAGAACGATAGTATTCGTACCTGTGAGCATGAATGGATTAGTATTAATTAGCAGGTGAAAAAGGTCTGAAAAGACTTAAGGTGGCCAATCGACTGGCCCAAAACGTGAAATTATCTGCTCACCGAAGTGTTATCTCAATTAATSCATTGATTGATGCGATGTGTGGGCAGTGGCGCCGCCTTGTTGAAACCAAATGTCACAGAGATTACGAGCATCAACTACAGGGGTCGGCTCTCATGGTGTGGAAACCGTCGCTATTGGTTACGTTCCCATCAGCTTCATTTTTGAAGAAATATGGGCGATGAATCCACCAGCCCACAAACCACACTAGACAGTAGTTTTTTCCTATATAAGATGGCAGTTCTTAAATCTCTTCAGCTTGCTAATCGTGTCAAACGCGGCAATTTTTCTGCTTYACATACTCATAGAGGCAGAAASRGACGTCATYGCTGAACAAAATTTGGGTTCTTGGAGCCTTTCAAGAGCCCATTGAGCGMAGCGATRTTACTAGAGAAGATCGAGCGRCTTTAGTTCTTGCASAAGCTGTATTTTTGATTTMAGATCTCGACGTAAAATGCAYCAAGTCGTTCCTATCTACGAACGTCGCTGAATCGACTCTCCACTATCTTCGTGTGGTGGAATATTATGCAATAATGAATGCTGGGTCTTAAAATGGGTGATGGWGTTGCGTATAGTASGTTCAGTACGGCGATTATGTTGACCATAAGTTGAGCGAAGCGCCCGAAACACATTCTTTAAAGAACGTGAACTTTSGAAATAAAGTTRAACGATAATAAACGTTRTTTATACGTAAATTTCTAGGTGATGAAATRCCAAACGATWCTGAACATAAATAACAAGACAGCTTGACACGACTCACTYGTGATCTGTCAARAAACGCCATCAAAAAAAGWATCTYTWCTTGGATCACCCGTGGATTGRATTCAAATAATTTTGAGTCGATTTGTTAAAATTGTGTTCCCTGACTTTGACCAAGAAAATAAAAGAGACAGGCAGGTCGAAATTTTGTTATATACATACATATATAGTTGGAAACGTTATAAATATCCTTATGCATCATTTGTATTTGAATACTCGATAATGGGGTTACATGGGTTTCCTCGGCTAAAAAACAGCATATTTTCAACAATTTTTTTCTCATATAAAAAATTAAATATTTTATTAGAATATTTTATTATTACGAACATACATATTGAGAAAAAAATTCTGAAATTTTTTGAAAAAAAACTTAAACCCAGTCATTTCCGGCGACTCCTCGGAACAAAGATGCGTCCGCGTTGGCAGGATAACTCCTTATGTGATCGAAAAAATACACGAAGGAAAAAAATTACAAATTGGATTTTTGCCAGACATTTTTATAAAAAATTGAATATTTCAGTGAAAARAGTATTGAAATACTCGTATGTTTCTAAATTAACACTACATTTACGTTCTTGTTTACAAAACTCATAACTCCACATAATAAATTCAATTGTACATATGTGTTATATATATATATACTCATATGTATTATATACTTAATGTGAGTGTATATTTAACACATTTTGCCATACTAAATGTAAAGCTTCTCAATTATTTTTCATTACTGCCACATTTTAATTTTGACGAGGTGGAGAGCTGACGTCAATTCAATAAACGAAATTCTTTTTTCATATTTTCAGTTATTAGCTCGTATAAAAACAAATATTAATAATTTGTCTATAAGTTTAGTATGAGTCCCATTATATACATTTATAAGCGCAATACTCTGACATACATAGTTCATACATATATACACATGTATGTATGTATATATATTTATATATTTTAATAAACTACCGAGTTTTATGATGAAATAATCACACAGTTTCAATACATGGACGACATACACATACACATGCTTAGGACTTTGTTGTCAGCAACAAGATTCGACTAAGCACATTACGGGCTTGTGGGTCGACTGTACTTGGATATATGTATGTACATAGCTTTGCTCATTAAAAATTGTCATTCGCCATTGCTTTATGCACAATTTATCGTATCTCATTTGAATCGAAGCTATCGAAAATAATAAAAAATTTGCGATAAAAATATTGCTGTAAATAAACTCACACATGTACACACATACACACGTAMGCATATATACATACCTATATGCCTTGAAAGCACACAGGCGCACAACCACCCCATATCGTTATACAAAGCCTGCGGAGCCATCGAGCAGTCGAGCTGGTGCTCAACATGGGGCTGAGGGTGGTCGAGCGGTGTCCGCGGCGCTGGTGGAGGCGTGGGGCACATTAAAGTTTGACAGCTGAGTGTACAAAGTGCGATTGGAAATCATGGGTTATCAGCTAACTGTGCTCGAACTGCCGCGCTGACTGAACGACTGCTGTAAAGATTAAAT